ACAAATAAAAACTCACATCATTTTAAAACCAACAAATTCTTACTAAGATTCTAAAAATCTATTTGGTTCAAAATTTAACTATTCATAAAAATACTTGTTTAATTTTAATTGAGTAAATGTATATGAAATAAATTAGTATTATCATTGAGTAAATATAATRTAGTGTAACGTGGTTGGAAATGACCAGTTAAATGTATAATACTCAGGGAAGAAGTTAGTTTCTTTTAGATATATTTTAACCGTCGTTCTAGAGCATGAATGTACCCATACAAACAAATTGGTTCGTGAGAAAAATATCAAAAAGATKCTTTTTCCCCACTCATCTTTATATATATATATAATATTCTACTGTACGTGTGTATATCATTGAACTTCTCCTAAACGGCTGGACCTATTCGAATGAATTTGTTTTAAGCATTTGGGTGATGCACTGGAWGGTTTAGATTCACAAACCAATTCACCTCCCCAACCCCGGGATATGCTCTAACAGACATTTTGAGATTTACGCTGGACATTTTTATTTATAGATGGTTTCCATTAGTGATGATAGTTGCTATTAGTGTAAAAGGAATTATTATTATCCCTAAATTTGTTATTATTTTTTTTTTTTTTTGTTTCCATGGCACATGCATTTATAGAATTAAATTTTTTTTTATTGATATTTTTTATTTTTGTTGTTATAATAACGCCATTTCTATGCAGTTTTGACTCCCCMAAAAAGATCGATTGGTAGTTCTATGCCTCAAGCACGAAAGAAAATGGCAGTACGAGCTTTAGAAATAATCGAGCAATGAGATGCAAGATTGAGAACCATCAGAAAACGTCAAGTCTGATTTTGTTCATCTGAAACAACTGAGCAACGATKCAAGATTGGAAACCGATATGAAATAWATGAGTGTAGATCTACAAAATRATGCATAAGCCGATTTTGCAAAACAATTGCTGGAAATAGGGAATGGTAAACTAGCTATCGATAAATCAAYACAATGCATCACATTCCCAAATAATTTTTGTGAAATAACAGCAAAAACCAATGAGTTAATTGAAAAAGTTTTCCCAAATCTACTCGTACCACAAAATCACGGAAATCGGCAGAGGCTCATTGCACGAGCTATATGGTGTAAATACCTAATAGCACAATTCTAAATAAAACCCAGGCGACACGATAACGTACCAGTCCATCGATACCGCAATTAAACGAGATGAAGTTATCAATTATCTAATTGYAAAAAATGCGTCGCCACGCTACACAGTCGGTCTCACTACCGTACCGTGCCATTTTATGTTTCAYATCAAAAAAATGTGGCAAACTGGCAAGTATGATCATAAGTAACAAATTTACAACACAGATAGAGACATTTTAGAGGTAGGATTTTTAACGAGCTACAAAGTGAACAGGTTCAGCAGTTAGTGTTATATCGCTATATGAACCTAGTTAACACTATCTCGCATATGTTACTATTAATAATAATATTACAATACATACATTATACACATGTTTTCATTTTTTGTATACGAGCGTAACTAATATAACATAATCTGTATTACGTGTAACTATTTTGAACACCAAATAACATTATTTATTTTATTGTTTCAAAAAATCGAAGCTGCACTAGGTTCTATAGGTATAATTTGTTTATAATTTACGGAGATCAGCATGTTCTTTTTTTTAAATGTGAAAAGGAAAACCTTTTTTTTTGTCGCACTGCAATAAAAAATTACAAAATAACTTAAAWTTTTTTTTCATGTGTATTCCATTTTACGGAACACCCCGTGCATCATACTATTTTAAATCAGAGTCAGTCCATTGGGAATTGTACTGCTTTCCGGTGGCCAGTCCACCGCCACCATCGCCATAAAGTACACGTAACTTAACCTTTTATAGTACCTATCGTAATATTCAAACACACACACACACACACACACACACAAATGCACGGTATATATTATACACATACGATATAATAATATCATTAACGGACATAAAATTCAACGCAAAACATACATACGGGGAGGTTTTCTTGAACAATTTAATGGCACTGTGCTCGAGAGGTATACGTGAGGAGGGGGACAACCATATCTGCCCTAGCTGTATATTATATTGTATAATACACAGAGGTAGATATAGTGTGGGGATAGCTATCTGCTCGTGTCCGACTTACGTATAAATTATATGTGACTATGTGAGTATATAAACATCTCGTGTGCACATAAATAAATATTACAAATCAATACACGTAATAAGCCAGATAAAATATATACAGATACAGTGCTACAAGAACRTCGRGTAACCCTCTGAGCCACAAAAAAAAWATATGAGTATGTTACTAATCTGACTTATGYAT